GCTTTCTCCTGATATATAGTTTGCCATAAGGTTTTTAAAAAGTATTGCCACAACAGACCCTTTAAAGATAGCTAGTAGCGATTCTCAAGTTTGGGTAGACCCTCCCCTTAACTAAGCTTGTTATCAGTATGCATAAACACAAACGGAATTAACGGATCTCCAGCTGGCAAGAGATATTATTATTAGCAAGATGTATAGGGAAAATGGTAATTTGGACACAAACTATGCTATCTATGTGACATCTCTGTAGGGAGGAATATATATTTTGATAATGAACAAAATAATTAATGGTAGTTATTATAATACCACTTCATAGTTACATCCGCATAAGTACAGACAAAAGACTGAGGCCGATTTCGGCAGTTATTGTAGTGGGTTTTGACTGGTTATAGCTATATATAAGCAGATCTATTCTAAGCGAAATATGGTATATGATAGGAGTTCAGAAGCAAAGGCAACGGAAGATTCACAGTTGGATACAACCAGAGGCAGTACAGCCAAGTTAAAACGGTTTGAAGAAATCCTTGTAAAGGGTAAATCAGGTATAGTCATATGTTTGTTGATATGTTATGCACTATTGGTCTGAGGATTCGTTTACTGTGTATGTCTTTGATTCGAAAGAATAAGCGATCGAGGAACGCGTTCGTTAATAGTTCATGCAGCGAACTGAGCGAAGCATTGGCATGATGACATCTGATTGCTTTCTCAACTGGCCTTATCGCATTCCGGCGCTAGCTTGCCGCGCGATGATATCCACGGACCTGCAGCAAACAGATCGGCGCCCTCTCCTGATTTATTCCAATTATTAGCTGACAGAATCACCCGTCTAATTCTGAATTTGAATAGTGTAAATTTATATAATCATGCTAATAAAGCTATTATTTACCATACCGTATTACCGCAAGCTCCGGCACATACCGGATAATTTACTTTTCTTATTATATTCATTTTGAAATCAATGGTGTTTCCTGCAATCTGATTGGTTCACAGGAGTGAGATTTCAGCACGAATCGCACTCCTAGCAGTGCGATTCGTGCTGAAATCGCACCGTCTTTCAACCAATCACATTAGAGTGTTGACGTCAGCCAACCAATCATATTTAAGGTACGTTTACACGCTGCGATTTGTTGGGCCGATTTTGCTCGCTGTATGTAAATAACCTGTCGTGAGTACTCGCGTCAGCGCCTTGCGATTCACAAAATCGGGAGAAAAATCTGAAGCAAAACACTGGTTTTTCTCACGATTCAACGATTTTTCTTCCGTTGTACGTAAAGTTGAGGAAAACTTTTCGCACGCAGAAAACTATAATATGAACAGACGAGAGAGCGGACAGCTTCAATTGAACATTTAAATCGCTGAATGTCGAAGAAGGGGCAACGTTTAATTGCCAAAATCGGCCCGACAAATCGCAGCGTGTAAAGGTACGTTTACACGCTGCGATTTGTCGGGCAGATTTTGCTCGCTGTATGTAAATAACCTGTTGTGAGCTGAGTACTCGCGTCAGCACCTTGCGATTCACAAAATCGGGAGAAAAATCTGTAACAAAACACAGATTTTTCTCACGATTCAACGATTTTTCTTCCGTTGTAAAATTGTTGAAAACTTTTCGCAAGCGGACAGCTTCAATTGAACGTTTAAATTGCTAAATGTCGAAGAAGGGGCATTGATTATTTACCAAAATCGGCCCGACAAATCGCAGCGTGTAAACGTAGCTTAAACGTACCTTTAATCATAAGATTCAAACAGCCAATCAATTCTAAGAAAAATGTGATACGGCAAATGAGCAAAAACAAAACATTTACATATGTCATGATTTACTCTTGAGTGGCCTATTAAGCAATTAATTTAGTCTTGCACATAAAAACAAAACAATATGGATAGCTACATGCAGTAAACTATCAAAGAATTGCAAAGAATTTTAAAATTTTTGAAATTTTGCAAAAAGTAACGGGCAAAAATGCCAACAAAAGCAAATTTAAAGCGTCAGGGAAAACAAAGGTAAATTCGCCGGCTATCCTATTTCCAATTTTAAACGCATAAAACTGCTCTAAAACTCTTTCAGATCACTCGTAAAACCTACAATATGTAGGTTTATACGTTTATCGTTTAAAGTGGAAATTGAACTTCGTGTCGTGCAATTTTGGACTGAAATCAAACTTGTGATTACAAATCGCTCTCCCGCTTCGCGGTCGTGCGATTTTGTTATAATCAGTACGCGTTTGATTTCAATCCAAATTGCACTCCACTCAGTTCAATTACCTTTATATATAAGGTGATTAAAAGCCTTGATTTTACTGTAGTTAAGATTGTACCATTTCAAAAATATCTCATCAAAAATAGACCATATATATAGTATAGGTATGATCCATGCTGTGCAGAATCTCTCAAACTTGAATATTAATGTTTCACTCGGTAGGGTCATCCCGCCATAATGAGCCACTTCAGGCTGTGGTTGAAAACAAACTTCACGAATCCGCCTTGAGTGAAGAAAATAGCAGCATCCTTGAGAGAAACCGAGCATTACTTCAATATATTGCTACCTTAGCCAACTCTAATGATAATCAAGATCAGTTTAACTACGAGTTTGTCCAGTCCTTGCTCAAAGGTGGTGCTGAGATAAACACCGCTGACCAGTACGGGCAGTCAATTTTTCACGAGGTATCAAGATCATGGAATGTTGACGTAGCAAAATTTCTACTAAAGCATGGTGAGTTGAATTATGGACTCGAAATCACATGACCAAAAAGGTCACACATGAATTCGTTCCTTTTGCAAATACCACGTCTCGGTGGTAATTTTGGTGCTAGGGGAAAAGGAATGTTTGGAGTGGGCTGAAGAGATTATTTTGAATTTGTATGTTCTTTTTTAAGTAGCAATAATTGGTGTTATCTCAGACGGTTTTGAACAAAACAGGATTCATCCGAACTAGTTTATCTTTAGCTAAACCTGCTAAAGTCGAAACATTTCCTTGAAGGTTAACGACCCTGCAATCCTATAACATTTCCATTCTTATTTTGTTTTTAATTGTACTGTTATACCAAACGTCTACATTACCCGCAGTAATATACAATTAATATTTTGCAGTAGAATTACCTGCACGATCAAGGCACACAACATTATGTATTTCAGGCAAGCCAAACACCTCCCCCCTCCCCCCAAGATTATGCGGGTTGGTTCCGCAAATAAAACTCGAGAACAGAAATAGAAAGTGTAAAAACAATTTACCAACCTTTATCTGGTTTGGTGGCAGACAAAGATTGCAGGCATTAAACGACATTTCTGCATGAATTGCTCACTTTTGCTAGCCCAACAACTACGTAGTTTCATGAGCGGTGGCTGTATCAGAATGTATGAACTATAGCGGATTATGCAGGGGCGTAGCCACGGGGAGGGGGATGGGGGCCGGGTGGGTCTTCGTGTGTTTTCCGCCAAACCTGCAGCCATGACTTAAACCTGGTTAAGTAAAAGACCTCGGTATATTGCTTACACTTTACATCTGTTCGAAAATTAGCTATGCTTGGAGAATGAGATGATGTACATATATATATACTCACTGTTTGTCTGCTGTTATACATACTTTTCCAACACCAATGGCAATGGATGGATTGGACACTTTGTATACGTGTTGTCATAAACGCGTGTTTTCTCATTACATTTCCATACATTAGCAACCGGGCTGAAATCCCAATTTGGGATGGACATATTAATAGTCCCCAAATATATTTTTAACTCCTAGGTTGTGATATCAACAAACAAGATAGTTTTGGTCGCACTCCACTGCATGTATCAGCCGCAGTAAATCAGTCACAAATGACGGAATTCTTGCTACAGAACAAGGCAAATATTGATGCAAGAACATTTGGAGATGAGCAAGCTGCAATACATTACGCTGCGAAAAACGGAGCAGCGCAGTCCTTAAAAGTATTGCTAGGATATCATGCAGATATTGATACACTGGATGCGAATAAAAAAACACCACTCCAGGTAAGCTTATGTATCATTATTAACCTCTATTTCTGGGTCTTCAAATATTTCTGGGTCTTCAACAAATTTCTGTTTCACAGAACTTAGGGCCTGGTCATATGAGCCCGGTTTGCAGGAAGCTCACCTGATTTCTGCGTTAATATCAGTGTTAGGGATCACATGTCAATTGCCGGAGATGAATATCCTATTCCTGCATGCAGTGGCGTGGCCAGCCCGACGATTCAGTCATGTTTAATTTATAAAATATCAACCGGCACAATCAATTTCTAACGAAAGAAATACACTAATGATAATGAGTTGAAATTTGCATAGCGGGACCAAATCGTCGGGCTGGCTATATACGCCTATATTAGAGCATATTATGTATATTACATTATACTCGTATGTATTCTACTCGAAAGCAATAATTTCAACGTCAAAATAATATATAGATCTTGTTTTTGTCGAAATTTCCGAGATTTAAAGTTAAGAAATTGTGACATCGTACGTAAAATATATAAAGGCATTTTTATTTTCATTGTTTAATTCATTTATGTGTTGATTTAAAACTTTTTACTTTAACAAACTTTCAAAATAATTTATCAAAAATGCCTCACAATGGCGCGTAGCCGTTAAGAAATGAAACTTTATTTTATATAATGTCCAAGATAGCAACACGTAAAGTGAAGAAGTTAATCATCACTGACTGATTGAATGGTTAATTTGGCGAAAGTACCATTCGCACGTGACGACTGATACCTGTTTTCCACTTGCGAAGTGAATTTTTCATTTTCTTTGGTCTCTCAACTGGAACCGTCTGGAACGAATTGGATAAAGACAAGATAAAATTCGCAAAGTGGAAAACCGGCTTAAGAATGGTTAATAATATTTATACAGTCTTCCGATCCGTCACGACATAAGCATTGCGTTTCATTAACTCCGGTTATATTTTATTTTATTTTTATATCATTAGCTCGCTGCAGAATGGACACGGCAAGAAACCACTAAAATTTTAATCGAAGAAGGAGCTGCATCATGTTCTCCTGACTCGTCCGGTTATACACCACTCTGTGTGCTGATCGATCGCATGCCAAACCTCGCGTTGGACGCGCTCAATCAACTTCACAAGAGGGACGTGATTAGTATGAAAGATTACTATCATCTGCAACATTTGGAAACATCAAAACGAAATCACGAAACTAAATCAACGCGAACAGCTCTAGAAACTGCGGTTGCAACAAGAAAATTCGAAGTGGTAACACACCCAGTTATGCAGAGGCTCATTTCGAACAAGTGGATCCAATATGGTCGATTGTCAACGATCTTTGATCTGCTATTTCATGCTGTATTTGGAATTATGTGGACAACTGTGTGCATAGGTACACCAAAAAGTGGACGAGCCCTGTACATCCCGTTGGAAGATCATGTTTGGAGGGTAGTCCTTGGTTTGATTATTATACTGTTGACAGTTTACGATATTGGAAACCATGCCTATGGTAAGTAGCAAACTGCATGACGACCTACCAATATGATACATTAAAATGTCAGAGCAGAAAGCAGAGCAAACAATTATATAGATGTAATATTTCAAATCCAGGAATAAGAATTATACTGAAGCGAATTCCGAGCAGTTTATTCCTGGAGCTAATTGCGAACTTGGAATCCTTGGGATCTTGTCCTGTCCGAATGTTCAGGCTTTGAAGTGACATCTCTTACCAGCCTTTTATCCCGTCCTCTGTCGTCTGACTGAATACATTTTGACCCAAGTATTCAATATGATTATGTAAGCAAAATAAACCAAAATTGTTGGCTGATTTCTTCATGAATTGTCATTATTTCTGAGATATATTTTTACAAGTTGTACGAACTAGCCATTTCTATACGATTTGGGTACCGATAAGCAGCAAACGTCAGTGATTGTAGGATAGTAATTATAGTATACATATGCCGTTTACTCTAGCGTCTTCAAAATTTCCAATCGCAACTTGGCGATACATACAGTACATTAGGGCACTTATACTGTATATATAGGGAGTTTATAGGGCGGTACGACGCACCAGAGACCGCTTTTAAAAAAGTTAAATTTCAGGCATGATATCTTCTAAGAATCAACTCTTATTTTTCAAGATATAAACTTGTGCACGATAAGGAGCTTCAACATGTCTGACTTAGAAGGTGTAAATCGACCAAAGATATTCCCATTATTTGAAATTTTAATTTCTCGTAATAGTAAAAACGTCGACGTAGTAAAAACACGTGCATTATCGATAATAAATTCTCTTTGACAGGAAAATGTTTACGAAATAAAAACTGATTCTGTACCCTGAGTGATATTGTATATATACATTCAAATAGTTTTTCACACCAGAAATGATGCAAAAAATGGTCAGAAGCACATAGACCATCTCGCCCCATCACACGTCGATCATGGCGCCCGTTCGTTGCACCGCCCTATATATACAGGGTGTATAAAAAAAAACTGAACAGATTTGAAATTGCTCTCAATTTCGAAAAACACCTATTTGTGTCCGTTTTTTTATATAAATAGCTTCTTTGGGAACTTATAAAGTAGAATAATGAAAAAAAATTCTTGAACTCAAATTTTGTGAACCAGGGGGGTATGTCTTTTCCAACAAACTAAAAATGGCTCGCGCACAAAATTTAAAAGTTGTAATCATATTTCGAGTTAATCAGGATGGAAAATTTGTCGGGTTTTTAATTACTGTACAAAATTTCAGACAATTTGGTTTAGTTTAAGACCTTTAACTATTCACGCAAAGTTACATTTTTCCTAAAAATCAGCTATTTGCATGCTTAATTAATGCCTTTGCCTAATTTGCAAATGTAAATTAGGTAAAGGCATTAATTAAGCATGCGAAAGGCTGATTTTTTAGAATAAAACGAATAGTTAAAGGGCTTAAACTAAACCAAATTGTCTGAAATTTTGTACAGTAATTAAAAACCCAACAAAGTGTCCATCTATTAACTCAAAATATGATTACAACTTTTAAATTCTGTGCGCGAGCCATTTTTAGTTTGTTGGAAAAGACACACACCCCTGGTTCACAAAATTTGAGTTTGAGAAATTTTTTTCATTATTCTACATTATAGGTACCCAAAGAAGCTATATATATAAAAAACGGATACAAATAGGTGTTTTGCGAAATTGAGAGCAATTTCAAATCTGTTCAGTTTTTTTTATACACCCTGTATTCATAGATTAAGACGAATTCTCAGTTAATTCTAGTACAGGGGCGTAGGAAGCATCAAAAGGTTGAGGAGGGGAAGGGGGGCAACCTCGTTCCCAGGCTCTTTGCTCTTGTGAAGCAAAGACCCTGGTCGGGGCTGGTCACGTGACCCATAGAAAATTGATAATCTAAGAGGGGGATGGAAAAGTATCAAATTACATGTTTCCACTTCCGCACCTCACACTTCGATTGCAAGGAGTGACCGTTCTATACAATCATCTTTGAGAATCATATATACTTCAAAATACTTGCTAAATTGGTTTCTGTTTGCTTTTAAATTATACAAACATGCTAAACCGTAGATTCTTATAGCAACAAACAAGTCAGAAAATCAAGCAACGAAAACGTATGATCGTATATGCTTGGAAATATTTGCCCTTTTATTGTCTCGGGGTTCGGGTGCAGTTTCATTTCACGAGTACGTTTCTGTATCTGGCTCTGGTTCAGATACGTATAATATTCTTATAATGTGCCATTGAATTGTTGTCATATGGAAACGGTATAAATTTTGTTAAATAGAGGTCTCAAAAGCGACTGTGTAGGTCGTAGGCGCTACGCCTTGCCGGGCTTACAGCAAACGTTACACATTTGGACACTAGCCAAATAGACATTGAATGTCCATTCTATTGATTCTAAAACGGTTTATAGACATAGTGCTCTAGATTTTTTTAAAAAGGTTATCATCATTTATATTCAACATCAGGTACGAAGGAATGTTAGCGTACAAAATTGTTTGGGATCGACAGTAAAGAATTATACGACAATTGACAACTGTATGCATTTCCTTTTTTGTCTGCACGAGTTGTCTGCCAAAATCAGACTGCACAGAATCTCCGATATGAATTATATAGCCATTCACCCTCGCCCCTTGAATGCAAAGGAATGATAGCCGAAAAGGTTTAGCAAAGTATTTTTTATTATATCTGGTATAAAGTGTCCCTACGTTTTATCAGGGATATATATATACATATAATTCATAAACTGTATATATGCGCACGAAGTCCAGCTCATAGAATTACTTAATTAATGAGTTTTAATAAGCCTTTTAAAGTTTCCATTGATAGATAGGTTGTTTGCCTCTAGTATGGTTTGGTGAAACTGCTAAAATGTCATTTATACAGTATACGATAAAGATTATTTAAAGTTGATTTAAATATTGATGACTCACAGCAGCATTATACAAGTCCAAAGAAGCTGTCGGGTTATTCTTCAAATATAAAGCACTGAATGGGCAATGGGAATGAAAGGTCTTTATAAGGTTTATAATGTACCTGCTGTAAATTACTGTAATACACAAAATATGAAATAATCAGGGGGCGGATTCAGCGTCCCAGTCTGACCGTAGCATTTTGGATGAAATGAACATGCGGGGCCGAAGGCCACGCCCTACCTAGGGGGGTTTGGGGGCATGCCCCCTCAAGAAAATTTTTGAAATTTGAAGCCAGCAAGTACCATTTCCTGCATTCTGAGCATCGAAATTAGATTTAAAATTTGTAGAAAAGTGCCTGTTTTTCACACAAAAATAAGAAAAAAACGCACAAAAGTTACAAAATTTATTCATCTTAGATTATCTTAAAAAAGTAAGATAACAGTAGTTCGAAAGTTTTCAAATGTACATCATCTTGAAACAGCGGCCCAACGACAGTTAGGGAAAATGTTGATCTGGCCAAGCGACTGTTAGGGAAAATGTTTATCTGGCCAAGCAGCATATATAGATAATCCCGAAACAACTTATGGCAGTCAGGAAAATTATTTTCTGTACTGTATATAGATGATCTCCAAGTTAATATAGGGAAAATGTTTATTTGTAGATAATCTTGAAACAGCAGCACAACGGTAATTATAGGAAAAATCTTTATTTGCATATATGTTTTTTGTACTAAAATTCGTCGAGCAGTACTGCAGGAATTCGCGCGGAGCTTGGTGCGCAAATTTTAGTACTGCGGGAAATATAATCCGCGCGAAAAGCTTTGCAGTGTAATATTCACTCGTTGTTAGTAAAGATATCATGTAAGACAATACCATGTATGAACCTATAATATATGGGATGATAATAAAAATTAGCTATTGTTATTGTTATTGTATTAGGCAAATGAAAACCATACATTTTGAGGTTTGAACTTTATACGCTTTACTGTTATCATGAATTTGGTTTTGACAAATATTGAAGTATTTGCTGTTATAGTTCTATTATTAAAACAAACCAAAAGGAACCAACACAGAAAATTACTTGCGCTTAATTTAAAGCTGCGCGAACAAGGTTTCGCGAAATTGGAATGCGTGAATTTAAAGCTGAACGAAAATGAGTATACGACGCGAATTTTAATACAAGTGACGTATACACTACATGGATTTGAAACATCTAACCATATATTTATGATACGTTATCCCAGGAAGCAGGCTCAGCTGTTGTAACTCTAAACTCTGTTAGTATACATGTAAACTACAATATAATATATCGGAGTGTCAACTATTTCTATAAATTTCCTTTACACTACTCGCTAGTCTTTAGACTACAACAGGTCTACAACTAATAATTACATGAGCAAAGTCTAAGATATAAAATTACTTACATATTTCTTAATATAAACACACATGGCATGCCAATGGCTATCAAATAGTGTGAGACTGCGAGTGGCCATTGATATTGTTCTGCATTTTTATAATAATACGTCTCATCAGCAAATATATGGTAATATATTCGAGACGCAGGAACTGTGTAAACAATTCGATATGTTATTTACATATTTAATATACTATTCATGAGACTGACCTGACACGGAGGTGATTCAAACAGCGCTGTTCTTCACAGATCACATCGTGGGAAATGCAAATTATGCCAATAATTACACACCAAAAGCTTTCGATCAGAATTCTTTCGCGCGCGCACCTTTTCGTTAAATGAAACACGTTACATTCGTTCGTTATACACAGAAGATCGTGGTGTGGATCTGTATACAGTCCTGTAGAAGCCATATCTTTCTCCTTGCAACGAGCGGCGATTACAATTTACCGACTATTCGATTACAACGAGGAGCCGACACAACAATAACAAGCCAGCATCGCTCTGAAGTCGATGCGACTATTGCAAACAGTAGCATTTTGCCTCATTCTGATTGGCTTGCTTCGTCTGACCGTAGCAAACCAATCAGCACGCCGTATTTGCAAATTTTTGCAACGGTCAGTTTCAATCTGACCACTGCAAAAATTTCCAAATACAGCGCTATG